ATCCAAGACACTAGTGTAGGTATCCAAGACACTAGTGTGTGATCCAAGACACTAGTGTCGTGTTTCCAAGACACTAGTGTCAGTGTATCCAAGACACTAGTGTATTGTATCCAAGACACTAGTGTGATACATCCAAGACACTATGTGTGTATCCAAGACACTAGTTTTAGTGTACCCTAATACACTAGTGTAGTGTATCCAAGCCCTAGTGTGAGTTAATCCAAGACTCTAGTGTAGGTGTATCCAAGACACTAGTGTAGTGTATCCAAGACACTAGTGTGATATACCCAAGACCAGTGTAATGTATCCAAGAACTAGGGGATACATCCAAGACACTAGTGTAGTGTATCCATAGACACTAGTTTAGTGTACCAAGAATAGTGTAGTGCATCCAAGACATATGTGATGCATCCAAGACACTAGTGTAGTGTATCCAAGACACTAGTTATGTATCCAGACACTAGTGTAGTGCATCCAAGCTAATGTGATAATCCAAGACACTAGTGTAGTGTATCAAGACATAGTGTAGTGTATCCAAGCACTAGTGTCGTGGTATCCAAGACACTAGTGTAGTGTAATCCAAGACACTAGTGATATCCAAGACACTAGTGTCGTGGTATCCAAGACACTAGTGTTGTCATCCAAGACACTAGTGTATGTATCCAAGACACTAGTGTCGTGTTTCCAAGACACTAGTGTCGTGTATCCAAGGACACTAGTGTTTGTATCCAAGACACTAGTGTGTGCATCCAAGACACTATGTAGATGTATCCAAGACACTAGTGTAGTGTATCTAAGACATTGGTGTGGTGTATCCAAGGCACTAGTGTCGTGTATCCAAGACACTAGTGTAGTGAATCCATGACTCTAGTGTGGTGTATCCAAGACACAAGTGTAGTGTATCCAAGACACTAGTGTGATACATCCAAGACACTAGTGTAATGTATCCAAGACACTAGTGTGATACATCCAAGACACTAGTGTAGAGTATCCAGGACACTAGTTTAGTGTATCCAAGACACTAGTGTAGTGCATCCAAGACTAGTGTGATACATCCAAGACACTAGTGTAGTGTATCCAAGACACTAGTGTAGTGTATCAGACACTAGTGTAGTGGGTGTATCATAAGACACTAGTGTAGTGTATCCAAGACTCTAGTGTAGTGTATCCAAGACACTAGTGTAGTGTATCCAAGACACTAGTGTGGTGTATCCAAGACACTAGTGTGGTGTATCTAAGACACTTTTGTCGTGTATCCAAGACACTAGTGTAGTGTATCCAAGACACTTGTGTAGTGTATCCAAGACACTAGTGTCGTGTATCGAAGACACTAGTGTCGTGTATCCAAGACACTAGTGTGGTGTATCCAAGATACTAGTGTGGTGTGTCCAAGACACTAGTGTGGTGTATCTAAGACACTAGTGTGGTGTATCTAAGACACTAGTGTGGTGTATCTAAGACACTAGTGTGGCGTATCCAAGACACTATTGTGGTGTGTCCAAGACACTAGTGTGGTGTATCTAAGACACTAGTGTGGCGTATCCAAGACACTAGTGTGGTGTATCCAAGACACTAGTGTGGTGTATCCAAGACACTAGTGTGGCGTATCCAAGACACTAGTGTGGCGTATCCAAGACACTAGTGGGGTTTGTGTCCAAGACACTAGTGTGGTGTATCCAAGACACTAGTGTGGCGTATCCAAGACACTAGTGTGGTGTGTCCAAGACACTAGTGTGGTGTATCCAAGACACTGGTGGGGGTGTATCTAAGACACTAGTGTGGCGTATCCAAGACACTAGTGTGGTTTTGTCCAAGACACTAGTGTGGTGTATCCAAGGACACTAGTGTGGTGTATCCAAGACACTAGTGTGGTGTATCCAAGACACTAGTGTGGTGTGTCCAAGACACTAGTGTGGTGTATCCAAGACACTAGTGTGGTGTATCCAAGACACTAGTGTCGTGTATCCAAGACACTAGTGTCGTGTATCCAAGACACTAGTGTGGTGTGTCCAAGACACTAGTGTGGTGTATCTAAGACACTAGTGTGGTGTATCTAAGACACTAGTGTGGTGTATCTAAGACACTAGTGTGGTGTATCTAAGACACTAGTGTGGTGTATCTAAGACACTAGTGTGGTGTATCTAAAACACTAGTGTAGTGTATCCAAGACACTAGTGTGATACATCCAAGACACTAGTGTAGTGTATCCAGGACACTAGTGTGGTGCATCCAAGACACTAATGTGATGTATCCAAGACACTAGTGTAGTGTATCTATTACACTAGTGTATTGTATCCAAGACACTAGTGTAGTGTATCCAAGACACTAGTGTAGTGTATCCAAGACACTAGTGTGGTGTATCCAAGACACTAGTGTGGTGTATCTGAGACACTAGTTTGGTGTATCTAAGACACTAGTGTCGTGTATCCAAGACACTAGTGTAGTGTATCCAAGACACTTGTGTAGTGTATCCAAGATACTAGTGTAGTGTATCCAAGACACTAGTGTCGTGTATCCAAGACACTAGTGTGGTGTATCCAAGACACTAGTGTGGTGTATCCAAGATACTAGTGTGGTGTGTCCAAGACACTAGTGTGGTGTATCTAAGACACTAGTGTGGTGTATCTAAGACACTAGTGTGGTGTATCTAAGACACTAGTGTGGCGTATCCAAGACACTATTGTGGTGTGTCCAAGACACTAGGGTGGTGTATCTAAGACACTAGTGTGGCGTATCCAAGACACTAGTGTGGTGTATCCAAGACACTAGTGTGGTGTATCCAAGACACTAGTGTGGCGTATCCAAGACACTAGTGTGGCGTATCCAAGACACTAGTGTGGTGTGTCCAAGACACTAGTGTGGTGTATCCAAGACACTAGTGTGGCGTATCCAAGACACTAGTGTGGTGTGTCCAAGACACTAGTGTGGTGTATCCAAGACACTAGTGTGGTGTATCTAAGACACTAGTGTGGCGTATCCAAGACACTAGTGTGGTGTGTCCAAGACACTAGTGTGGTGTATCCAAGACACTAGTGTGGTGTATCCAAGACACTAGTGTGGTGTGTCCAAGACACTAGTGTGGTGAATCCAAGACACTAGTGTGGTGTATCCAAGACACTAGTGTCGTGTATCCAAAACACTAGTGTCGTGTATCCAAGACACTAGTGTGGTGTGTCCAAGACACTAGTGTGGTGTATCTAAGACACTAGTGTGGTGTATCTAAGACACTAGTGTAGTGTATCTAAGACACTAGTGTGGTGTATCTAAGACACTAGTGTGGTGTATCTAAGACACTAGTGTGGTGTATCTAAGACACTAGTGTGGTGTATCTAAGACACTAGTGTGGTGTATCTAAGACACTAGTGTGGTGTATCTAAGACACTAGTGTGGCGTATCCAAGACACTAGTGTGGTGTATCTAAGACACTAGTGTGGTGTATCTAAGACACTAGTGTGGTGTATCTAATACACTAGTGTGGTGTATCTAATACACTAGTGTGGTGTATCTAAGACACTAGTGTGGCGTATCCATGATACTAGTGGGATGTATCTTAGACTGTATATTCTACTTAAGGGACTAGTTTATTACATTATGGCGGCACATCATTTGGATAAATCATTTATCCAATTTGATGATCGTTCCCCCAGTCTGTTGCACCTTGGATCCTCAGACAAGACTCTCCTTAAAAAACCAAGACACAGTCAAGCACCCTTAAATGTCATTCTTCTATGTTTTGGCTGTGTGTGCACTGACGATGTTCTGTGGGCTGATAAGAGGAAACGAGGAAGCATGAAAAGCACATTTATCGCCATAAAAGGATATGAAGAGATAGTGAAGATTTTTTTTAGTAGATTGTGTAGCGATAAGAAGAGACCACGGTTAGAAATTAAGGAAAATATGGGATGCTATAACTGTTTTTATTCGCAAAGTTATAAAACAGTGGAATTAATTGCTGTAAAAGATGATGCAATAAGTGCTAGAACATCTGGGGAAACATTATGATGATAGCAATACTGATCATAGAAAGATGTTTACATCTGCTCCTGTAATTATAAATAGGTAATTTCGCACACACACACACACACACACACACACACAACACACACACACACACACACACACACACACACACACACACACACACACACACACACACACACACACACACAAACACACACACACACACACACAGCAGTAGCAGAGAGGCAGTGGCCAGGATCTGATACTCGACTCCTGCAACCACAATTAGGTTGCTACAAACATCAGTAGCATCAGAGGAAGTCTTGGGATAGCTTAAAGATCTCAGTATCTCCAAGACTTAAAAACGCCTTTGAATATGAGCACTGGAAAAACAAATGTCTTATGCAAACTAGTAAAGACAAACCATACCACGGGCGGGGATAGAACCAGCGATCAGAGAGTCTCAAAACTCCAGACCGTCGCGTTAGCCACTGGACCAGCTAGCCACAATAATATTCGTCCAACTAGGTATATTTCTACACCATAGGAAGGTTAGCATAGGCACCACTGTGACCACAAATGCAATTTGCATTTGAGAACATTATACATGGCTTATGTCGATCGAGCTTAGAGAAAGCCACACCAGCATAGCGTCAACACCTAGTGAAATATGTAAAGAAATTTAAGAAGGTTCCGATGTTTGCTACCCAACTTGCTTCAGAACTGAAGAATGCACTATGAGGAAAGAATAACGAGACTGAACTAAATACTGTTCTAAAAGAGAACACCGAGAAAGGAAAGATAATGGAGATGGCGGTGAACTCCAAGAACAACCAATGTAAAAACACTATAACGCAGAGGATAAAAATATGAAGAAAAACATCTGCAGATAATTAAAAGACAGGGAAGAAGATCCTAGACATACCCGATCATAATCAAACACCTAAAAACACACATATAGTAGAATAGGTAATTACATTCGTGTGCTCTTATCCATATGTATTTTCAACAAAGAACTAGTGTATAAGTTGGTGTTACAGGTGCAGTGTTTACGTCCAGCTGCCGTATAGTCCGCGGGGATCCCAGGTTGTGCAGGTGGCCTCCTGGACACCTCGTCGTGGCCTCCTCCTCACCTCACACCTCCCACTCTTCCCGGAAAAATTCTCAAAGTGAGTCTGAGAAAAATAATGCACATAATTTATTCTTTTAGCTTGTAGAGAAATTTTGTGATTTTGTAGTTGATTACACTGGCCCACAAATTTTAACTTTTTCTCCAGTTCAGAAACTAAATTGATTATGTTTAGTTACCTTTGATGCGCTGATCACGAATCTGATGATTTTTTTAAATATTTTAAATATTTTTTTAAATATTTTGTTCAATACTTTTACATGCTATTTAACCTAGAAAAATTATTGATGTGTCTCATAACTATCAAAGGTTTCATATATATATATATATATATATATATATATATATATATATATATATTTATATATATTATATATATATATATATATATATATATATATATATATTATATATATTTAAATATATTATTATATAATATATAAAATATATATATATATAGGGGTCCACCTCTGGTGTAAATTGTGGGGACCCATAGCCTCGGGGGGAAGTGGATAAAAAGGCTTCAAGAAAAATATTTGGATTTCTTCCTGAAGCCGTTTGAATATTCCACTTCCCTACCCACCCATCTTTTCATATTTATTTTTTTTACTAATAGGAATATTTTATTACATAATAGGGTACAGAAGATTAAGAGATACATTGTTGATATAAAGGTTTGGCATATAAGGTACATGTTGTTACGTGTGTATCCACGATTATAAGGCGAGAATCTCATCCAGCTCCTCAGAGCTGGGGGTGTGCCCAAAATACAGCAGGCATTACCTTTGAACAGCCGCACTGACCCGCTGGAACGAAACTAGCTGCCCTGGGATCCCTAGTTACCCTGATGTGTCTTTTTCCCAGCTCCTTAAGGAATTTAGATGCACTCTTTCCCATGAGCCAAGGGTTCTCTGACCTTTGGGAACAAACCCATATAATGAGGGGCAAGTTCTCCATATTTTCTAGATTTTTGGGGGACTCCCTGAAGCTGGCGCTGCCACCTCCTTCCTCCCTGGTGTATTTGGAGATAGGTATCAGCCAAGTAGATGCACATGTATAGTCCCACACCACCTGCTTCCATCTGCCCGGGCCCTTGAAGGGTGATACATCTGGACGCTTCTGGCTGCCATCAGATCTGCATAGTTGGGGTGGCTCCTTTACTGCTGGGATCCAGCTGTTTTGAGGGCTCCTCTTGATATGTTATTAACCTCCTCATGTCTTGCAATCTTTCCCTCGGATTTACGGCACACAAAGACCATGGGAAACCCCAATCGGTCTGCTGCTTCACTGCCACAAATACACCCGTGTTCGGCGAGAATTGGGGCGGCAAGTCGAAGGGCAACACCGATGCGGATGGTCTGTGGGTCGAGGACGTGTGCCAAGGCTGGAGTTGGGAACAGCCAACAGAAATTCCCCAGCATGAGGGGCTCTCACTGCCAGGAGGCGGTCTCTATCCTTCCTGACCCCACTCTGAAGCATTGTTTTGGGGAATATTTTCCACTATTGGACCATCCAGTTTCGATTGTTTGTAGTTGTTGGGGGACAGGTCTGGCTCCAGAGCCCGTTAGATTATCCCAGATCATTGCTCCGTCAATGAATTTTTGGTCCTGGACTCCTATCTTGTCCCTAAGATGTTCAGGGAGAATCGCTGGGTACAAGCTCTCTTGATGCAATACACGAGGACAGAAAAAAAACAGGTAACGCAATCTGTGATGACTTGCGGAACCAATGCCTCCCCGTCTGACTGGAAGTGTAGCTTGGTTCCACTGCCCGTCTTCTAGAGTAAGGTTAAGTACTTTCGTTTAAAAATCTGCCCCAGAATTACTGTCATATTCGTGCAGTATAGGGTTATCATATGAAGGTGCACATCTTAGGAAATATGTCAACCTGGGCAGACTCAAGACTTTGTGAGAAGGTACAAGGGATCGTGGGTGCCAGATTGCCTATTCGTTGTTCATTCTCCCTTAACCTTCCAATTTCTTCCTGAGAATTGTGTCAATGGCATTGCTTCCCAGAGGTGCTCCTAGCAAGACATATTTGTGGGGGCAATGACTGCTGCTCCTGGTAGTTTTGATCTCACGCATTTATCACTTGTTGACTGACTGAGATGATTTCACATTTGGATGGTTTTAGGATAAGGACCCATTTCCTGTCCCCGTGTCATTACCTGTGTAAGGTCATGTAGGAGGGACTCTTTTGTACCTGCTAGTGTGCCATCATCTAGGAACCGATGTTTAGCTCGCTGGGTCAGTCTGACTGTGATTTCCCCAACTGCTATACAGAAGAGAAATGGTTTCAAGAGGATCTCCTTGTTGGACACCCTCCATGATTAATTTCATGCTCTCCAAAGAGAAGCATTGATTCCTTGCTATACCGGCTGAAACAAAAGGGAAGAGACCAGGGAAATTTCTTGTACTGCTGCTAATACCACGTCTCTTTTCAGAGATTGAACGCATTCTTGAAATCTAATTTTACCACTGCATTGTCCTCAGGCAGGTAGTTGATATACGCCCTTGTTGCATGAACCGCTGCTTCACTTC